GAGCCATGCTTTCAAAGTGATGCAGTTATACAAAAATAAAACACACTTCACCATATATACTCTGAGACTCAGCTTTTTTATATGTAAAATAGTATCACATACTTCATTTATTCAGTAAGTATATTATTCAGTAATTATTTATTGAGTCTCCACTGTGTAGCAAGGTGTTCTATAGGTTGATGATAGGTATTCACCTCTTGCTGGACTCTTGGCAACATGGTTCTTGTAACTTACTTTTTTAGGTTTAAGGGTGGTTACAATGTCTAGCTGTTGCTACTTCCTGTGTACCACCATTCCTCTGGACCCTGTAAACTATTCATACTGCTATATATCATCCCTTTATTAAATGCTCTTCTGCAGAGTCTCTGAGTTTGTCATTTTTTTCACATGGAACCTTGACTGATTTAGACAATTAGGGAAGGTCATTCTGAGGTTTTGGTATACAAGCTAAGATCTGAATGAAGCGAGTGAGTTAAATAGGAGAATATCTAGTGCTATGGTTTTGATGTTTTTCCCCTTCAAACCTTGTGTTGAAATTTGACACCAAATATTGGAAGTGGGGCCTACTGTGAGATGTTTCAGTCATGGGATAGATCCCTCATGAGTAGATTAATGCCCTCCCTTGGGGATGAGTGAGTTCCCTGAAGAGCTGGTTGTTACAAAGAGCCTGACACCTCCTCACTCTTTCACATAGCTGGCTCCTTCTGAAATAGGTGGGGGCAGCCTAAGGTCCTGCTCAGATGCAGATGTTCAATCTTGAACTTTCTGGCCTCAGAATTGTGCACTAAATAAACTAACTTCCCCTCCCCTCCTCTTCCCCTTCTCTCCCCTCTTCCTCCCTTCCTCCTTCCCTTCACTCCCCTTCCCTCCCCTCTCCTCCTCTCCCTCTTCTCTATTTCCCAGCCTTAGGTTGTCCTTTATAGCAACACACAATGGACTAGGAAATCTAGAAATGAGCACTCTAAGAAGCAGAAAAAGCATGTGCAAGACCCTGAGATAGAAGCCAGATTTTGAATATTTTTTGCAATAGTAATGAGGCCATTGTGTCTGAGAGAGCAAAAGGGATGGAGAATGGCAAAAGATATGGTCAGAGAGATAGTCAAGACCCAGATCATTGACGGCATGGCAGGGCATAGCAATAAGTTTGTGTTTTATTCTAAGATTGCTGAGAAACCATGGAGGGGTTTTGGTCAAGGCAGTAATGTGGTCTAACTTATATTTTAAATGGATAGTTCTGTATACTATGCGGAGAATATATAGGGGAGAGGGAGATAAGAACAAATTCATGGACAACAATTAGAAAGCTATATATATTTTTTCAGTTTATATGATGGATATTATTGATGTAATCCAAGGGATTAGGATCACATGAATGAAGGTAGTGAGAGGCAGTCAAAGTCAAGTAGTATTTTTACAATAGACTTGGTAGGGTTTGCTGATGTATTTGGACCTGAGCAACTGGGTGAATGGTGATGCCATTTAATAAGAGTGCAATCACTGAGATGTGAACCTAATTTAAGAGAAGACTTGTGATGGAATCAAGAGTTTAATTTTGCATTATTGCGTTTTACATGGCTATACTACATACATCTAAGTGGAGATTGAAGTGGCAGTGTGCATCTCAGAAGATAAATTGAAGCTGAAGATAGAAATTCAAAATTTATTAGCATGCATTATATTTAGAGCCACAGTACTAAATAAAATCATATAGTGGGTGAAAATAAATGAAAGCCAAAAGGGAAAAGTATTTCAATAAAAATGGAGTAGTCAGCTGTGTCGACTGAAGCTTAGCGATCAAGAAATATGAGGATAGAACATGAAAAATTAAATTTGAATGATAGGATGTCATTGGCAGCCTTGATAAGAGGAGTTGCAGTGATGCGGTGGGTACAACAGGACACATTAAGAGAAAGTGCAGAATGGGTGAGGGAAATTTTGAATTTTTCTATAAAGGAGACGAGAGAAATGCTTACTATCAATATTTGGAATACAATAAATTTTGTTAAGTGTTTACATATACCTAATACTTCATTAAATATTTTAAGGACTTGAAATAATTTTAAATATAACCATTCAATAGAAATTGTTGTTTTACTATTTCACATTGATTCCACTGATATTGATTTTTATAGACTGCTTAATGAACTTTTATGTACTCTATATTGAAATATGATAGTTTTTTCCAAAGAATTTATAAACTAGTCCCAAATTATAAATATGCATGCATTAGTTTGCTAGGGCTGCTATAAAAAAATACCATGGACTGACTTAAACAATAGAAATATATTTTCTCACAGTTCTAGGACTACAATTCCAAGATAAAGGTGTTTGCAGATTTTCTTTGTTCTGAGAACACTCTCCTTGGCTTGGAAATTCCTGGTTTCTTCTTAGGTTCTCATATGGCCTTCACTCAGTGTGCACACATCCTGATGTCTCTTCTTCTTCTTGAAAGGACACCAGTCATATTGGATCAGTCACCTTAATCACCTCATTAAAGACCTTACATTCAGCCGGGTGTGGTGGCTCACACCTGTAATCACAGCACTTTGGGAGGCAGAGGCGGGCCGATCACCTGAGAATGGATATTTGAGACCAGCCTGACCAACAAGGAGAAACCCCGTCTCTACTCAAAATGCAAAATTAGCCGGGCATGGTGGCTCATGCCTGTAATCCCAGCTACTTGGGAGGCTGAGGCAGGAGAATCACTCATTTCAAACATTCCTCAAATGATACATCAAGGACTTAAACTCTACCATTATGTGTCCCAGATTCTATATTGCATAATTCTCTGGCAGGTCCCTGCAATATTTGAATCAATTTTTATTAGCCTCTTTTGTAGCTAGAATGGGAGAGGGGAAGGCCTCAAAAAAGATTATGGGTAGAGAAAAGTATACATACATTTCCATTAGAAAGGAGACCATTTAATAATTTTCTTGACAAGTACTCCTTGTCATTTATGACCTTTAATAAAATATGCATGAATAAATCTCTTACCCATTATGTTCCTGTTCAAAGTTAGCATTTTCAGATGAAAACGGTGATAACACCATCCCTCCCTGTCCCCTTCCTTGAATGTTTCCATCACGTGCTCATCTCAGCCCTATATTGCATAATTAAGGGTTCTCACCTTTTTTTATTGCATTTTAGGTTTTGGGGTACATGTGAAGAACATGCAAGATTGTTGCATAGGTACACACATGGCAGTGTGATTTACTGCCTTCCTCTCCCTCACCTATATCTGTCATTTCTCCCCATGCCATCCCCCCCAACTCCCCACCCCCGCTCTCCCTCCCCTATTTTCCTCCTACAGACCCCAGTGTGTAGTGCTCCCCTCCCTGTGTCCATGTGTTCTCATTGTTCAACACCTGCCTATGAGTGAGAACATAGGGTGTTTGATTTTCTGCTCCTGTGTCAGTTTGCTGAGAATGATGGCTTCCAGGTTCATCCATGTCCCTACAAAGGACACGAACTCATCATTTTTGATGGCTTCGTAATATCTTACTTTTTAAATATTTCGGGAAAATGATCTGATTAAGTCCTAAGTGAATTAGTAGGCTAAGTCCTCTTAATTATATCAAAGTATTGGCCATTTTCCTAATCATAGGCATTTCATTTTCTATTACTTCAATTGTGACTTAATTATTCTTTTTCTTTGCTTTCTCACTGCGACATATTTCTCCTTCATCCCTGTCTTTCCAACTAGATGCAAACAGATAAGAGATGATCAGAGTCATAAGAAAGAACCTTTTAGCCATAAAGTGTAACCATTCAATGTAACTCAAAACTCCTTTCCAGCAGCCTTTGAGCAGAGTTGTGTTTTTCATTTGGAGGATGAGGAATGGTTTACAACTTAAATCAGTTGCAAACACAAAAAACCTGGGTGATTTTACTTTAAAACCCAGAATTTCAACTTCTTTTGAATAAGTCACGTAATTCATTAGTAACTCTGGAACCAAAGCCTTAGAACTGATAAGGCTAACTTGTAGTTGTCACTATAAACAGGTCACAGCCTCTACAGCCTATCACACTGTCACCTATTTCTCGATTTATAACTTTAACAACTATAAATCATTACTCAAGCATGATCTTCAGTGGTTACTGATTAAAGATTAAAAATCAATCTCTTTATATTTTTATCTTCTATGTGTTGAAAGAGTAGACCATAGATATAATTTTTAAAATTTTCAAGAACATGGATGATCCTGGAGAATATTAGGTGAAATCAGCCAGGCACAGAATGACAAATGTCACCTGTTCTTACTCATATGTGACAGCTATAAAAAAATGATCTCATGGAGGTAGTGAATAGAATGGTGGTTACCACAGGCTGGGAAGGCTAGTTGGGAGGTAGTGAAAAAAGAAGAGTTGGTTAATGTGTGCAAAAATACAGTTAGATAAAATGAATAAGATCTAATATTCAATAGCATAAAGGGTGACTATCATTAACAATGATTTATGGTGTATTTAAAAATAGCTAGAAGAGTAGATTTGGAATGTTTCCAACACAATGAAATAATAAATGTTTGAGGTGATGAACCTAAATTTGATTATTGCACATCAAATATTGCATCAAAATATCATTTGTGTGTCATAAATATGGACAACTATTATGTATTCATAAAAACTAAAAATAAAATATTTTTTAAAGTTTTGTAGGTTAAATATTTTCCATGGGTTAATATTTTTGAAAATAACATGTTAAACTGAAATTTTCTTTTCTCTGTTCTCACTTCAGCTCTTCTAAGATGAAACATCTGCATATTTTCAAAAATATCTGTTTATATGTTTTTTTTAATAGACTATCCAGAGTTGGAGAGAATATCTAGATCTTTAGATGTAGACTATTTGCATAGTATTACAGTGTCCAAGATTGCAAAAAATAATAATAAAGCACCGGATGTGCCCAACTTTGCAGCTAAATAAATTATTGCACTGTGGGACAGGGGGATTCTTCATGCTGTTGAGTCGCGTTTTACGATCAACACCTCTCCCCTTTTCAGGATATCGAATCCCTAACAGGAGGGCTGGCTGGTTCTAAGGGGGCTGATCCACCGGTAAGTTAGAATCTTCATTAAATTTAACTGTCGATGAATTGAATTGTGTAAACACCAGACTGTCAGTCAGTTGCTTGTATATTATTTGCCATATGCAGGTACTTTTTAGAAATATAGCTATTATGGTAATTAATACAGAAGTATGAAATTGCTTTGAGGTGTGGTCTGGTGTTTTAAAAACTCTTAAAAACTTATCTCCATTTATTGGCTTTAAAAATAGAAATAAAATCTTCACTTGAATATAGCAGCAATTAATGTTCTACTAATAGGCTACACGAACTTAAGAGTTTATTATTCTAAATATGAGTATAGTATTTGGGTTGCAATATATTTTCTGGTTATTTAGAAAAATTATGTCTGTGTGATAAATAATATTGACTCTTGATACTGTTCTTTTCTACTTAATTCAGGAAGCTTCCAGAAAATTAGAAACAGTATTCTAAAGTTTCTAAGAATTATCATTTATAAGCAGTAACAAAAGCTTGATGGTCTATTATTGGAACATCTTAGTTTTTCTGTGATGTCTGATTTCAGAAAACATTGATAGATGACATTCCCATGACTTCATGCTTGAGATCCAAAATGAATTCAAAGAGTATATCTAAAGTACTATGACAAATTCAACTTATATCTCCGTAGTCAATGCATATATTTTTATCGTTACTTGCTTTTTTATTTAGCAAATTGAAATGTAATGAGGAACATACAAAACTCAGTGTTATCATTTTTTAGCTATTCTTCACATAGACATCTAGGTGAAGTACTTTAACTCCATTAAAACACCAGTGAGTTGTTAAAGAGATAACTTTTAGTTAGAGCTCTTTCTCTTCTGTCTCACTCTCATGTATCTCATGGTGTTATCTAATTTTCATCAAGTTGCTATTAAAGTATGGCTAACCAACATATTATAGTCCTTTTCCTTCTTTTTATTTTTATTGTAAGAATTAATGTGGAAAAATATATTGGCTATAGACTGCTGCTTATATTTATCTCCTGAATCTATTACATTACAGTGTAAGGCAAGATGAAATGTAAGTCAACCTGGAAAGTATATTGACAGGATTAATGGCCAGTCTTTTACTTAAGTATTTAAGTGAGTGCTTATGTGATGTAATTTTACCTTTCTGCCTTACACAGTGCTTGTCCATAGAATTCAACTTATATCAGAAAAGTAGATCTATTTCCTTCAAAATACTTCCCTTACCTGTTCACTGATTCCTGGAAGAATTCTACACTTAGAGATTAGTCAGTTTTCAAAGGATTTGTCCCTTGTTCAGAGCAAAATGAATTATCTGTCTTCTGCAAGTAGTGATAAAAATCTTATCCATTATTTACGTGTTAAAATCAATTAGTTTGTCATACTCTCTAAGAAAGCATGTTTCTAAACATGAAAGATTGTGTGTGTGGCCTAGTTGTTGAAAGAATCCTTTTGCAGGGGTAAAATGGGTCACAGAAAGGAAAAATGGTATCCTGAAGGCAAACCTCATCAGTGTCATTCCCAGTCAATAAAAGTGAATAGGCATGAGTTATACAACTATATATATATATATATATATATATATATATATATATAGAGAGAGAGAGAGAGAGAGAGAGAGAGAGTTTTTTTTTTCTTTAAAAACAACTTAAATTGTGAAGATGATAGGAGGTTTTTCTTGGCTGTGCTTTACCATGATGATTATTTTATACTTATCTTTTCTCAAGTTTCAATGATTGTGCTTATTTTATAACATTTTGTAGCATGGAAAACATGAAAATTTCAGAGTATGTAAGGGCTTAGGCAATCTAGGGGATCATTAGTACACATTAATTTAGGGTCTCCCATTGTTAAGGATCTATCTGAAACAAACTGCTGGGAGCTATGTAACAGTTGTTTTCTTTAGCCTTAAGTATCTAGGTTATCTAAGTATTTAGCCCAATAGTATCTAGGGTTACTTCCATCATTTATGAATAAAGCTATGAAAGAAGCTATTGTTTTTGCCTCCAAGTTAGAAAACTGAAAATCAGATTAAATCATATATGATCTAAATCAATTTCAACTTTTAAAAATTATTTTTACGTTTTTAAAAGTTTTTTTAAGTTATTTTTTTGAGATGGAATGCCACTATTTCACCCATTTGGAAGTACAGTGGCATGACCTCTGTTCACTGCAGCCTCTGCTTCTTGGGTTCAAGGAATCCTTCTGCCTCAGCCTAGCAAGTAGCTCAGATCACAGGCGTGCGCCAGCATGCCTGCCTAATTTTTGCATTTTTAGTAGAGACAAGGTCTCACCGTGTTGGTCAGGTTGGTTGTGAACTGACCTCATGTGGTCAGCCTACCTCAGACTCCCAAAGTGTATTTTTTCCTTTCTTTAAAAAATATCATTTTAGTAGATCATCAAAATACTATTGTCTACTTCAAAAGCTATGCTTTTTGTAGAAACCATTCTATGATGATGTTTTCATTGTTAAGAAATTCAAAGTCTTATTTTATTTATTGAACAGAATATATCAAGTGTTGAGTGAATGATCTTTCATAAGGATTCATAGCTGTAGAGTAATTTCTTTGCCAGTGTAATAGAAATCTCACAGCTATTTTTAAATGTAAATGGTATATTTAAAATTGCAAATTTTGTTGTGGGTACACATAAATGCTATTTCTGAAGCATTAGAAAAAAAGTAAAAAGTAGTTTCTGTTAAATATTAACTTAAAGCTGTCTTTGAAAAGTTACATCAAAAGATGTTCTACCTTTGGCATGTGTTTCCCATTCATAAATATTGGATCACAGATTAACCTCCAGTGTAAAATCATAGAATTTATTTACATAGGGAAAAGAAACTAGATAATCAAAATCTGAAGTATAAATTTACTTATTAAATGGTGCTTTGTAAATATGCCACTTTGTCATAGTGTTTTATGTTTTAAATATGAGCAATATTAAAATGTGAAAAACTTGGGGACTGTAAAGAATCAAAGTATCCCACATTGTCAGCTAACCTCTAGCAAGGCCAGGGTAAACTATATACATCTCTGCTACAGATAGCCAAGAGGACTTTGGATGCTGAAGTACTGTGGTGCAATGCATGAACTCTGTTATGTATCTGTAAAGTATGAACCTGCTATCTGGAGAGCTATAATGTGCAGGTCAGTATTTAACCAGCAGTGTGAAGGATCCCTGCCTGTGTTGAACCCATGTGCCAGTGGGAGAGAGGTGTAAGCTTTAAGGCAACCCCTGCCCTGGTGTCAGGATTCTTCGTAGACTGTGGACTAGGTGTAAGTCAATAGGTAGGATTTAGTGAATCGGCTTGGCCATGCAAGTTAAGTTTAGTGATATATACTCAAACAGAGTTTGTATATACAAGATGAGAGGTGTTTCTATTTGCCATTTGGTTTAAGAAAATATTTTGACTAAGTAGCTATTTACTTTCTTCTTATTTCTGATTTTTTTTAAAGGCTGACAGTGACAAAAATTTAATAAAGAGACTACATGACACATTCAAGAACATGTTTTGTTGTAGCATACATTGGTCAAATGTGAAGATGTTTCATTGTATTTCACAAAATGTTATTATCAGGATTTAAATTAAATCTCTTCATTGCCTCATGTAGCAATTATAGCAAGAATACCACTGAAGGTATTCAGTTTCTTCCTTTTCTTTCTATTTATTACTTTGGAGTAATAAGATCTATAAATTTGGTTCCTACAGAACTTAATACTTTTACATGTTCTAAGTTTTTCTTTTTTTTTCTTAATGCTAATGGTTCTCTTCATTTCTAGAGTGTGGTGAATAAGTCATTGCCCATCTAATTCATATGCTTGGGCTTGATATGCACACTGTCCTGAACATTCTTAAGCTCTACTAGGTTTTTCTTCTACACCGAGAAAACAGAATTGTACTTTCGGTTCCCATTTTATGGTCTTCCTGATAGTCCTTAGCAATTTGGATAAACACATCACATAATTTAAAACAATTTCAGTTTTCTGAGGGTGCTGTTTAGACTAAGTTATGTACATTTGAAATTGTAAATGCTCTTAGAGTTTTAAAATCTCCAAAACTGATTTTAATTTGATTATTCAGAAGTGACAATTTTCCACTTATTTGCTTCAACAGGTAAGAGAATAAAGTAAAATGAATCTGAATTGTGATCTAATTTAAATTCTTTCAACCTGAACTTTATATTGTCATATTACTTCCTTTCATTTTCCTATATGTTTATTTCAAATTTAATGTATATTTGAGTGTAAACTATGTGCTAAACTATACTATAGCATTTGGTTAGGATTTGGAGATACTGTGATAAACAATACACAGTTACTCATTTCAAAATCTTACAATATACTTGAATGGACAGTTGTGCAGAAACCAATTATAATATCCTGTAAGCACAGGATGAGATGAAAGCAAGTAAGAGTGTCATATAATCCAATTGATGAAAGTAGAAAGGGGCTGGAGAAACAAGCAAGGCAAATAGAAGAAAGTCATTTCTTATATGACAATTATAGGATGAGTTAAAGTTTGCCAAGTGATAGGGGGAGCATGGTATATTGAGCAATGGAAACAGCATCTGTATAACTAAAAAATGAGAAAATAGCATCATGTGATAAAGTATAAAATAACCTGGGCATGGGAGATAAGGGTGAGATAGAAGGCTAGAAAGTTAAGCCTGGGCAAGAATATGTTGCATTCCATGGAAGGAATTTGTTCTTTATAGGAAAGACCAAAGGGAAGTGTTAAGTCTGTAAACAAAAGAGTCAGTGAGATCCTTCCTTTGAAACATTTCTTGTTACCACTTGGAGAATAAATTAGAGAAAAGGCTAAAGCAAAGAGACCAGTGAAATGACATGCAGTCATTCATCCAAAGGATGGTGATGTAGATAATGGTGACTTTTTTTTGTCTATCTCTCTAGATTATTACAATAACTGAGGGCAGTAGTACAGGAGAAATTCAATATTTTTCAAAAAACAAAACATTAAATGATTAATAAGAACCTATAAGGCGGCAATAAAAATGGAAAATAA